AATTGAAGCATTTAATTTGAAATTTGTTTTGACATGGGAAGAAACTTATGGAGGCACATGGTTACAAAGTGAGTAGTTGAAAATTTATTTAAAAAATAAAAGGAGGGAATTACTGGAAATGTGAAGTTAGAGGTGGTTTAAGAGCATAGCTGAAGAGAACATGCTTAGACAAGACCTTGAACACTTCGATGAGACGATGCAAGGATGGGCTAGAACTGGTTTTAGCTGAGCGTGAGGGGCTGGTGGAAGTTGGGTAACTTAACCCGTTTGTGCTGCTATTGTAGAGCGCCCTGGGCTGTGTATAGCTACCTGCCTTGCAGCGCAAGGTCGTGAGTTCAATCCCCAGTACCACCCCCTCCCCGCAAAAGGCTGGGTATATTATAAAGAACTGGTATTTATTTGACTTATGGTTCTGGATGCTAGAAAGTCCAAAAACATGTCATTGTACCTGGTGCAGTCCTTGCTGTGCTATGCATCTTGGAATGTATAAATACAAGAGAGGGTCATAAGTCCCTTCTTAGGGTAATTAATTCACCCCCCCTAACAACATTAATCAATGTGTGAGGCAGGTCCCTCTTGACTTAATCAGCTATGCTTTGGCTCCACTTCTCAATATCCTTGCACTGGTCATGAAGTTTCCAGTACAGATATTTTGGGAGACACATTCAAACCACAGCATTCAGAACAATCAGTAGGGTTCAGGGATTTAGCTCAGTGGTTCCGCTGCCTGCCTCGCAAGCTGAGTTCGATTCCTGGTACCAAAAAAAAAAAAAAAATCAGGCATATGGGATGGAAAGACCTTCACTGAGATAACTGAACTCTGCTCAGACCATGGGGAGAGGATTGATGCGGCAGTACTTTGAGTTCTCATGTTTGTGTGATTTCCTCCATCAGGTCCCCATGGACTGGGTGAAGGAGTGAGGAGAACACCGTAGTGTCAGTCCATGGGGACTTTGCTGGAGAAGAAGAGTGACAGACAGCAGGACAAAAGAGTTACTGGAGTTGAAAGTTTAGCAAGAATATGCTTCAAGCAATGACTAAGGGCTCTGAACTACCTCTGGATGAGAGGGAGACAGAAGGAGGTTGGTAGGTTGGGAGAAAAGAGTGATCAAGGGGCAAAGGCTGCCATAAGGTACCAGAGATCATGAGTGTGTGATTTGGGAAGTGAGAGAGCTTGCAGGCTGGGTCGACAGCGGGACAGTTCAGTTTAAGATTCCCGAGGAGTAGCCTCTTCAGGTTTTGTCAAAGTCCAGGATGTGGTCCTGACTGAGGTGCCCAAGTGAAACTACGGTGTAGTGCCTAGACGTTGATGTTGAAAATATTAAGTGGATGGTTCACAGGAACTTGGACATCAGGGAGATGCTTGAACTCCAGGAGAAACCTGTGAGCAAGCTGCTAAGGCTATGATGACTGGAGAGGTATGAGGTTGTTGAAAGATAGCCAGATGGGGAAAGGAAATTGGTCTCAGGAGTCTCAGGAAAGATGAAGCTTTTATAGGAGGGTAGTGGCTCTGGATGAGCCGATGTGGCCAATAAAGCAGTCACCATTTTAAAGGGCTGCGAGTTAAGCACATCTGTAGAAGACAGTGAGATTTCCTTAAGGTGAGGAATATGGGGAGCACTGTCAGGCTGGTGAGGCTCCAGGTGCAGAAGAGAGAGCAGTGGGAGGAAGAGAGGATGCCCTGAGTAGTATAGGCTGAGGGGAAGGATGAGCTAGACACGGGAAGGGGCTGGGGGTGCTGCCTTCCCTCCCAGGGTCTCTGCTCTGTCCCTCTGGCCCTCTGGTCATCCTTGTTGTCCTTATTTTTCTTGATCTCCACTTCCTTGTTCTCCACTCCCACAGCCAAAACAAGGCAGCTCTAGTGACATTCCAGCTGTGGCCTGTGGCTCTTAGAACTAGGAATAATGCTGAGGCCTGTGTGGAGGTGGCCCAGATTCAGCCTTACAGAGCTCCTGAGCTTAGGAGGGCCCTTCGGCCTGACTCTTCAGACTGAATGAGCAGCTTTGAGAGGAGTCCTTGCTATGTTCTGGATACTGAAGAATGAGCAGTAGCTGCCTCAAGAGGCCACCAGATCTAGGCCAGCTTCAGGCTAGCTGAGCTGGAGGAATTTGCCTGAGGATAGACAGCTATAAAGTTGCTGAGACAAAATGGAAATTAACCTAATGCTTGTATTCACTTACTTTTCCAACCTGCACAGACAGCCCATTTGCACAGATGTTGTGGTTCATTGAGAGCTTGTTTATAAGACTTTTTACTCTACTGAACTTAAAATACGTATTTGTCATGTGACCTTGAGAAATGCACACCTTGTTCTATCAGCCTCAGTTTTCCATTCTGACAAATAAGGGGTGGGACTGGAGTGGTGAGTTTTTAATCCATGGCAGGTAGAGCCGCCGTGCTTTGGTGGATGAGCTAAGAGTCTCTAGGTGGGGGTTAAAAGGACTCGAGAGGAAATGAGCTCCTGGCTCCACTATGGTGTCCATCTGAGCAGCTACCCTTGGACCTGCCTGAATGCTGTGCTTTGCTTCAACCTGAGACTTTGTTTGGGAAGGAGATTCTGCTATGTAGAGCAGTGTTAACATTTGTGATAGTGTCTAGCTCTCATCTGCTTTGGTTCACTAAGAGCTTGGTTTACCTTTATAAAGGCATCACTTGTCTTTGCATTCTAGTGTAGATGGTCCCTGGAAGTGAGTTCGTCACTGTGTGCTCCTGTCACTTTTAATGCCTAAGCATTTAGTGGGCACATGGACATCTTCAGACCTCTGCATCACACATAGGAATAAGCTGATGCCCTTTAGTGGTAGTAGCAATGCTCTCAGAGATCTGGCTTTACTGGGGTGGTTTTGATGGGCCAAAGGATCCACAGGAGCCTTGATGATGAATCACATCCTGAGTCTAGCCAGTGGGACAGACAGGTCCTTTAGCCAAGAGACAAAACCAAGACCTGTTCTTTGTCACCTAGCACCAGCTGGGATTCCTTGTCACTGGGCGGGCAGCTGTGAGGGATCGATCTCTTGGCCACCAACAAGCCTTCCCAGTTGGGACCTTTCTGAGACTCCATGCCAGAAAAACCACATCTACGAGTGACTCAGAAGAAAACCCAGCTGCTCAGCTCCATTATAGCCCTAAAGGTCTCAGAGAAGAGCCCAAAGGCAGAGGGAGAGTAGGGGATAGGCTACTTTTGTTCTTCTGGTGTTTATAGAGGCTTAACAGATTTACACTCCTCCATGTCACTGGGAAAGTAGAGAGGTGGGCCATAAGACAAAAGAGGTGCCCATTGTGGAGGAGATGGTGAAGTCATAGCTGTTGAGGTGGAGACTTTGGGATGAGCCACCAGAGTTGCTTCTCTGACCCTCTGGGTCCTTAGCTTTGATTCATCACCTGTTTTTTCTGACCCATACATAGGTAAAGCCAGGTTTGTAGTCTGCACATGGCATTTTTCTGGCCAGTAAGAATTTCAGCATGAGGAAATGGGAGTGAAACTTACACTGTGTGATGAGTCATAGAGAAATCCACCAAATATTGGTAAAGAGGTGTACTAGAATGAGAATGAGGCTTTTAAAAATTTTTTTTTTACAACTCAGCAAGTTATTGATGCCACAGACTATCTTCTCTGAAGGGACGCTCAATCAAGTGTGGCCTGAAAAACCATATGTTAAAGGAATAAGTCTGGTGCAGTCCCTGCAAGGACTCAAGAATGGGGACAGATGTGCAGGACCATAGTGAAGAGGGACTGGTGTTGAAGATGTCATGTCCTACAACAGTTACAATCACTGCAGTCTAATACCTCCTAATAGGTTAGGGGGCCAGAATCTCTTCACTGAAAATGAGGCAAACGCCTAGCTGCCAAGGAAGTCCAGTGAATTTAGGTCCATTCTTGGATGAGTCCTTATGGGCTGGCAGCCTGCCTTGCTCTGTATGGCACAGACAAGACATGGAAAGTAGGGCTTAGGTCCAATTGGTGAATTTTGTCAGTCATGTGATCCAGCAGAAATGTGTAGGACGTGCTTAGAATGCAGAGGCTAGCATGGCGGGGTCCTGCCAACCAGGGCAAAGGAGGGTGCTGGAAGGGCTGGATATAGTCAATCTCGAGAAGAGAATAAGAAGTGTCTTGGAATTAATTTTGTTGCAGATGGCAGAACTGAGGCCAGTAGGAAGAAATAATAGGAAACAATTATGATTCATCAGACTGTTTTGTCTCATTGTTTTAAGACAGTAAAGTCCAATGATTAAGACCTTGTGAACTCAAGACAATAAAGACCAGTGGACTAAGACCTTAAGAGCTGAGCCACAGTGGGAAACCATCAGGAATTGTGCTTATAGACCTGGTCATGAGATCATTTAGTGTTAGCCTCAACTGTGATTTTTTTTTTCAGTACCAGAGATCAAACTCAGAACCTTGTGCTTGCCAGGCAGGTGCAGTGCCAATGAGCTACATCCTTGGCATGTGCACTATAATTTTTAAAATTTCACCTGTTACTGATACAAATTAAGAAATTATGCTTACAAATCCATACTTAGAACCTCTCTGGAAAAACTGGAGACCTGATTAACTAGCTTCATATTTTCTCATCCAACAATAAAGGGGACCTGAGTGGAACTGCCTCCTCCAAATAAAATGATTAATCCTGGTTCATCACAATGTACCTTTCTTACATTGGTGCAATATATCTGGCCTCTGTAGGTATCATAGTATGTAACCCTGTTCTCATCAAGTGCCCAGGGTTTGAAGTCTAGGTTTTCCACTTGAAGCTATTGTGATCTTAGCAAGGAGTCAACTTCTCTAAGACATTGTTTCTTTATCTGGATATAGGATAATAATACTACTTACCCTGTTGAGTTAGAATGCATGGTCAGTGGTAGCACAGAGTGAGGCACACGGTGAGAGCTTACTGACCCTTGGGTGCCAGGAAACTGTCCAGGTGAAGAGGATTGACTCACAAAGCCTTGAGAGTTCCGTTACCAATGCCTGGACTGAATGGATAATATGACCCAGTGGGAACCAGGACTGCAGAGAAGAGACAGCCGCCAAGAACCTCTGAAACACACAGTGACTACATCAAAGATGGTATAGGGCATCTCTTGATGTTTATTAAAATCAGACTTAATGTGGAAGGAAATTTAGTGTCGCCTAGAGTAATTTATAACCACACATAGGCTGTGGCATGCTCAGAGTGAGGTAGGGCCTCCAAGCTTAACTAATTCGGGGTGGGAACATTATCATGCTCCTTCCTTCTCTGTTGCAGGGCTGCTTTGTACTCACTAGCAGCACTTCCTCCCTTTATAGCTGGTGAATGCTCATTAGTCAGTGCAGACTGAGCAGCCAAACATTTATCTAGATCTATGATGGATCATCACAGCACTTCAAGACCTGCCTAGGTCCTGGATCTGCCTGGCAGTGCTTATTGGCAGAGATATCCTTCAGGTGGTCTAGATCCAGCCAAATGAAAGAATACCTGGTTCAATTCCGTCTTAGGTTTTCATGTATTTCCTGGCACTGGGAGCAGAGCCTGCTGTATATACTTGGGGTGCTCAAACCAAGAGTAAACACATTCTAACTTTCAGGGAGCCATTAGAGGAGAAAAATCTGGAGCTCTGCTGGTCATGAACACAGCAACACAGATTTATGCATACCAGACATGCTAGGCAGAAGCTTGGGTGAGAAAGGAATAGATCACCACATATGGAAGCTACAAGAAGGTGCCTGCTAGGATATGACGATAGTGCTGCAATGACATGGGTGTCCAGGACTGGCAGACAAGGTAAGGGTGAGGTGAATGAGCTGAAACATTCATGCTCTGAATTTATTATCCTCTCTGCTTCCCCCTTCCTCTGTTTTTCATCCCCTCAATTCTTTGAACTTCACTGTGGTTCTCACGCCTAAATATTATGAAACTATGAAAAGTCCACGTGCCTTTTCCTTACATGGTGCCTATGTCTCCGGTGTAACTGGCCTGAAGGGAGCGGGGCATGAGGAAACCAACTCTGGTGCCCTCTTGTACAACCCTTAGGCAAAGCCCTTGCTGACGAAGTGTCTTAAATGAATGTCAGGGCTCAGACTCAGGTTTGATACTTGTGCTTGGGTTGATTTTTTTTTTTTTAGAAGAATCTCTTTCTTCTGCCCTTCATCCTCTACCCTGTGGGCACCTGTCCCTGAGAGTTGGCCTTTCATTCATCTGCAGTTACACTGGGCTTCTACAGATTCAATATTGCTATCCTCAGGCAGGTCTGATGGCTCTTCGCTTGGATCTCGGAATCTGGAGGACTGTTCAGACATTTGAATCTAAATTAAATACAAGATTGGAGATGGTTGCTCATACTTCATAACATGACCTTATTGGGATATTTATCTACTAATTCTTCCAAATTAATAATTGAATCATTGACAGAGCTGATTTGCTTATATTCTGTTGAAGTGTACCTGCTCTGTGAGATTGTGGGTGTGTGGCAGAAGGCTAGGTTAGGCACTGGCTTACATATGGAAATACACTTCTGTTCCAGAAGTTTGGGTCACCTACTGTTTCATGAGTCCCGGATTGCCCTGCAGTATGAGTAGTCAAGAAAATATTGTTTCAGTTAGGACGTTTTCAATGGGAAATAATAACCTATAAACACTAGCTAAATAGCATAATGCAAATATCACCTCCCTCAGCATACTACCGCACAGACACTCACAATCACATACATGTCTCTACATATCTGGCCAAACCTGTAAAGACCATCCTAAGCTCCACGGTTGATATTTGGACCATCAAAACCTATGAGTAAAGTTGCTTTCTTCTGTAATTGTGTAGTGGTGAAAGTATAACTCGGGAGCAGGAGGGTAATCTCGCTCCACCATATTAGTGGTTTGATCTTAAAAACATCGCTTAGCCTTTCTGCACTCTCATTTCCCCAACTGTAAAATGGGAATTGCAGACTCCATTTCATGGGTTTACTGAGAGATTTCAAGAAATTAAAAAATGTACATGATTCCAACATTATCTAATATATGGGCTGGAATCAACAGATATGACTGTTATTCCAAAGACTGACACTCTTGTTACTATTTGCAGAGGCAAACAGCAGATATTCAGGCCACAGGGGAAAACAGACACTCACTTTTAAGGTAAGATAGTGGAACAAGTAAGAGAATGCTTGTCTGGTTTCAGGAAAAGAGAGGGTCTTGGAAAGTTGGGGCTTCCTATGCTGAGCCCAAAATCAATCCAATTCCTCCAGCATATAATGAAAATCTTCTGTGAGCAAAATATGTACATTTTGTGGAAAATGGATACTTAAGACAGGGAGACCATACCCTACTTTAAATAATATAAAAACAACAGAAGGGCATGATGAAAATGTTTTAGCTCCCTGTCACTGTGAGAAAATATCTGAGACAATCATCTTAAAAAGAGGAAAGGTTTATTTTGGCTCAGGGTTTTGGGAATTTCATTCTGCGGTCTGTTGGTGTGATGTTGAAGCAGTGCTTCATGGTGGGAGTGTATGGAAGAAGAAACTGCTTCTTCGTGGCAGCTGCAAGGCAGGTGGTGGGGGAGAAAAATAAAGAAATGGATCAAACTACCAGTATCTATGCTAAGGTCATGTTCCCAGTGACCTAACTTCCATCCTCTAGACCCTACCTCTTAAAGATAGTACCATCTCCCAATAGTGTCATGGGCCGATAACCAAGGTCTTAACACATGGGCCTTTGGGAGATATTTCAGATCCAAACTACAGCAGAAGACTCATTAAATTGTGGTAGGATGGTTAAAAAGTCCTTTTGTGTGGGGGAGAAAAGGTGACAAGAGCAACTTGAGTCAAAGTGGGGAGACAAGGAAGCTTGATATATGTCTGAGAATAAGGTAGAGTCCAGTTTGCTCAGAGCAGATAAAGATAGGTTAATTTTGGCTATGAATGCAAAGGCAGGCACTTAATCAGTAGTCAACAAAAGAGGCCACTGAAGATTTTCTGAACAGTAGTAATAAAAGATGTGGAAAGTAAAATATTTTTATATTTTAAGATTGTTAGAAAATAGTGGGTGAGGAAGACAGAGGAATCTCACATGACAGCTTAGAGATTATTTTAGTGTTTGTTTATTTGTTTTCACCTTGGACAGTTTGTATGAGAAGTATCAATAAATAATACCAGGGATAGTAACTGGAAGATTGTTGGAAATGCAGAATGAGAAGCAGACTAAGGATGGAGATATGGATTTGGGAGTTAGACCTCAAAAGACCCAAACCAAGGTAATGTATGTAATGACTGGGGAAGAAATTGAAGGAGAGTTAATGAAGACTAAGGACTGATCCTTAGAGACAGGACATTGAAGGGAAATACAGATGAAAGAGGCATAATTGCTAATGAAGGGAAGCATGGCAGATCAGGATGATAGAAGCGAAAAAATGGAGAAGGCCCAAGGAAAGGCTATTTGGAGGAGTTTGGAGCCTCTGAGAGCCATCTGCATGGAGCTCTAGGATGTACAGAGTGAGACTGTGGTAAAGTGAGGAAGGAGCAGTTCAAGGGATTGTGGGAAAACCTGAGAGGCTTTGTAGAGTTAAGATACGAGAGGAGGACTAAGCTCATTAGGGTCTGCCTATTTTCCTACGCACAAATTAAGTTCAGAAAAGAGAACCAAGAAAAGAAGCTGGCTGGTTGCCCTATGCCAGGAAATTAAAAAATAGATTTCTGTACTGGAAATGGAGAAGGTAAAAGGGCCAATACAAACCAACCACTAAGAAAATAAGAAGGATTGCTTATAAAATAGAACTGTCTGATTATGAACTAAATCAGAGTCAGTCAAAATATTGTAATATAAAATATTTATCCTTATGGAAAACATACCATCAAATATATTTAAAATGTTAAGTAGGTAAGAGTTGTGAAGGGAAGCGGCACTCGATTCTCCAACTGCATCATTACATTACTGGCCGTATCACTTCCTGTGAGTTATGGCTCCCTCTTTGTCTCAGATTCTCATGTGCACAGTGCAGAAAATAAGTATCATTTTGTAAGGTCTCTGTGCTGTTGTGAGAACTGAATTAAATACTTGGGAATGTGAATGAGAGTTATTATCTTGGTACCTTGCACACAGTAAGTAGAGGCTGGTAAATATTAACTACTATGATTAAAAGATGTTTTTGGCTCCCTAGTGGGAGCAGTTTAGCAGTCACCCTGGGATTTAGCTGGACAAATGTTCAAAAACTTGCCCCAAATAAGAAAATGAAGCATATGTAGACATGAAAGATTATATGTGATTAAACAAAAGAGAATACAGAAGAGAAAAGGAGAAGGAAGTTTGGGAAATAACAGAAGTGTATGTGTGTATTTGTAGAGGAAGAAGATGGTAATAAAACTATAGAAAAGGCAACAGAAGTTTTATGGAATCATTGCATGGTTAAAGTTAACTTGTGGCTTCACAATTTTAAATTGTGAATATTGGTTCCTCAGTTAAAGCTACACAGTACAGAACAGCAAATTTTTTAATCCTAATCTTCTCTCCCTGTAAGTAACTTCCCTTGCTATTCCTTTAAGAGTAGGGGTGGGGTGGAAATTTACCCCAAACATCTGCTAGTAATCTCCGCCACAATCAAATATATGAAGTACATTGCAGTCTTTAAGGAGTTTTAGATGATCTTTTATTCCCCCTCTACTAGCAAAAATAATCTAGAGCCATCTGTATGTGTTTTACACAGACATCTCTCATGTCTCTTTGCTGCTGTTTCTCTTTTTCACACACACACACACACACACACACACACACACACACACACACACACACCTAGAAACCTGAAGTGTTAATGAGAAGAATGCATTAGGCTCTTACAATGTGGGATCAAGACAGACTAAAAATTTTGTAAACCATCAGCATTTAAGTCATTCTCAGGACAGATGGGAAATTCTTGCATGGAAGAAATATCATTACTTTATTCAGTTTGAGGTAGACTCACTAGTTTTCATGGGCTATTATGAAGTGAAGTAATCCCAGCTTGCTAAGTGGCTTTCATGTATCAAATAAGGTAATACATAACAATCTGGTAATCTATAGAGTGCTGAATAAAGGTCATACTTTTATACAAATTTTCCTAAGTAGTCTCTGTTGGATTTGTTAAATAAGTGAATTAATCTAACATTTATGTGTGGATTGAAGTTCTGATTGATCTTGATTTTTCTTGATTTGTTTTAAAGTCAATTAACAATCTTGGATTGAGGGGTGGGCATGAAAAGCGATGATTCTAGAGCCAACAACTAAAAATGGGTCCAAAATGTGTACGTGTGGTGGGGAGAAGTGAATGTTCCCAGGAAGATTCCAGGAAAATTCCTGCTTCCTTGTGAGGGATATTCATCTATCCATTAATCATTTGTCAAGGCCCATGTGGTTTGGCGGCCTCTGTGGCTGAGCCATGTATAAAGCTGATGACAAAGATTTACCTCTGACAGGTTCCTTGGACTGGAGGAAGACAACCCCCTTGAGGACTACCCTTTGTTAGCAGCCCATCACTCAATTTGTAATTATTCTCTCTGAGCTGTCTCATTCCATTTTGATCATGTGTCATTGAGACTCTCTATTTTCTTTCCTTTATTTACTATTCCTTCGTCTTTCCCACTCTTTGAAAGCTGAGAGAATAGTTGAGTTGCCATAGCAACCCCTACCCCTACCTCTTTTCCATTTCTCAACAATTTTTCTACATTTTAAAAAATCACTATTTATAGCACACAAAGCTGCTGTCCCCTCCACCACCGCTCCAAAAGGGAGGTTTCCTGTCTGACTAGAATATTAATGACTAAAACATGGCTTCTAGTACAAGAGTGAGGAAGCCCCCTAGAACAATCACTTTAGAATATTGTTTAAGCACCTGTGTAGAGTCTAACTTGCACATATGAAGGTACAGATACTGTCAGGACTGAAAATCAGTCTTATAAAATATACTAGGTTGACTATGAATGAAATATGCATGTTGATGTGGTTGGAAGCAAGGAAAACTGAAGGAAGTTGTTCTTATTTTCATTACACAGTGAGATGGAACTGAGCTCCTGGAGTCTAATTGTACTAGACGCAGATGTCATAGCCAGCCTCTTGGGAATGGATGGGAGATCTGCAAGGTTGAAGGTGGATAGAAGGCAGCAAGAGACAATGGGGACTAACAGAGGCTCCACTGTTTACAAGCTGTGAGAGTATCTAATCAGCACATCATATGTCGTCTGTAGGATTGTTGTGAGAACTGTGCATGCTGAACATTGGGTGGTTATACAGCCCCGTGACTGAGCATCTGGGCCTGGGCTTGGCTTCAATTCCATGTTAGCCACTGTCTGGTTTCATGACCTGAGGGAAGTTGCTTGACCTCTTTATGTATTGGTTTCTTCATCTCTAAAATGGGGATGTTAATAGAAACTATATTTCAGGGTTGTTCTGAGGGTCACATAAGTTAATATAGGTAAGAGCTTGGCAAAATGACTGTCACTGTTGTAAAAGGCAGATGAAAACTATTAATTTAGTAGCTTATTGACATCCTTGAAGACAATATCATTCCAGGGTTTTACTAGATTTTGTAGCTGTTAACCCATAGGTTAGGTGGAAAGGGTTGGTAGGGGTCATTTTTAAAAAATGGAATGAATCATTTATATTACATTGAGAAGTAGAACTCAGTCTTAAAAGGAAAAATGTAGTACTTTTCAATTCCTAGCATTCAGTTATGAAAATATTCACTCTTTAGCATATTATTTTGGGACTTAGTGAAAATAAATTTATATAGGAGCAAAGTGGGTTATTTTAGCTTAATCTAAATTTGGGCATATATTGTTTATCCATTCTAGTGGCTCACAGGTGGAAAGTGAGTTCAGAGACTAGTATAGTCTAGTAGTAGGGACTTAAATTTTTGTGGGCAAATACGTTACCTGGTGAATTTATTTAAAATTCAGATTGCAATTTAGTGGATTGGGAGTACAGCCTGAGATTCTGCATTTCTACAAAGCACTTAGGTAATGTTGATGTTGAGGTCCTGGGAGCCAGTGAGCAGCAAGGTTATAAGATCTTCCCAAAGATACCTTTAAACGGAGGTGTGGCTTTAGAGTAGGAGACTCTCATTTCCTATTCAGAGCCGAAGCTGGAATTCCCTAATACTAATAAAACTAGGCTTTCATGAGAGAATGAGATTAAGAATTCACAGTGGCAGGGCTGGGGATTTGGCTCAGTGGTTCTGCCACATTCCTCACAAGGACCTGAGTTCAATCCCTAATACCAAAAGAAAAAAAAAGAATGGCAGTTAGTGGCAGTTAGAAGCCTCATTTTTTTCCTGAAGTTTTGAAAAGTGAAGGCAGGGAACACTGTATATAATTTGTTTTGATTTTCTCAAAAATCTCAGAGGTGCCTGACTTCATTAAAAGGGGCTTTCCTCTTGCTTTACAAGTCAAGTAGGATCACTTTGTTTTGTTCTTTGAATTTTTCAGAACTCAATAAAGTTTATGATCTCTCTGGATTTTCTTTTGATGGTGTTTGATTGAGATTATCTTGAGGACATGGTTTTTGGACCAAAATCCAAATTAAAGTGAACCAGATGACATAATTATTGAAACATTAACTTGAACTTTCAACTCCTGTTTAAAAGCATTACTCACCTACTATAAATCTCTGTCAAGCTCTTATTTCAGTCTAAGCTTTTTTTTTTAACTCAAAACAAAACTCGACAATTTTTTTTAACAACTAACAATAATAGTAATACATAACAGCTGCAAGTTCACTTCCGAATTACCACTGGAGGAATTAAAGGCCTGTATTGTAAGATGAAAGTTAGCTACTTTATAATATGATTCAGCCAGTGACTCACAATTATGAGTCATGTGACTTAAAAATCTCAGGAGCTGTGAACTTCTCTTTGGAGGAATGGGAAACTGAAGGAATATGTGAAATTAGAGAAATGTGAAGTAGACTTAACCAGGATTCAGAGAGCGTGGTAAGACATCTGTGCATGCTAATTTCATTAGAAAGGTCATCTCTTTTCTACTGGTGCGGACTTCTAGCCATGGCATACAACCCCTTTTGTGAAAGGCAGCATTTTATCTATCCTAATGTGGAAAAACTGTCATTGCCACTAGATTACTGAACCAGGTCTGTGTCATCTATCAAAAAGCTCCACACATCAAGAGATTGGATACCAGTTGAGGGGAGATTGCCCTTTCAGTGGTGCCTTTTCATTCAACCAGTAACAACTCAGATGGGATAGAAAAGTGTGGCAGAGATGGACAA